AAAAAAAAAAAAAAAAAAAAAAACCGGCTCTCGTACTTTTGGAAAACGACAGAAAGATCTGGGCGTAAACTTCTGGATTTAATCTCGGGCTCCACGATCATTTTTTCAGATTTCAAAAGGGTTTCTGGGCCTCGCAGGCCTGGTAGGCGCAGCCCAGTAGGCGAGGATTAAACTCCACAGGGTTTTCCCAAAATTTTCACAAAATTCTCACTTGGATTCCAAGGACTTACGGGGGATTTAGTATGAATCCAAAATAGGGGAGACAGAACTTTATAAGGGTTAGATATCTGACGGATATTACTAACTTTTACGAGTTTTTTTTCGGATACAGATTTTGGGACTTCGGCCGATAATCCCGCGAAAGTAGAAAACGTTTGGAACGAAGTTCGACGAAAGGATACCTTCACGGAAGGATACCTTCACGGACGGGAACTGGAGGCACAAGTAGTATTTATTAGATTAGTAAGCTGCCACTATCCACTCGGAGTTGATCTACCCTCCTGACGAGGCTGGAATCTGGCTCCAGCCGAAACTGGTCGAGGGAAGCCAGACTAACCGCGGCCTAGTGTAGTGGTTAGCACCACACGCGCACACACCAGCTTTGTGCTCAACTACATTGTCACCATTATGTCAACAACAAATGGAACAAATTTCAGCAAAAGTTCAAAACACTGTTGACATTTCAGGTCAATTCTTCGTGTCATTTACGTACGGCCTTGCTAGAGGCTTGTTTTCACGAAACTGTTTCTGACAAATTTCACTTAGGGAGAATCTTATGTTTACGGCCTTTTGCTAGAGGCTAGTTTTCACGAAACTGTTTGTGACAAATTTCACTTAGGGAGAATCTTATGTCTCGAGGCAATGTAGTCGGTCTGTTAAGGAGAAGTTTGGGCCTCACTCTATTCTGGAACAGGTCCGGAGAACAGGTCCGGAGGCCAGTTCTGGAATAGGTATGGAGACTAGATTCGGAACAGGTTCAGAGATCAGTTCTGGAACAAATTCGGAGAGCAGTTCTGAAACAGGTCCTGGACAGGTCCGGAGACCAGTTCTGGAACAGGTTCAGAGACAAGTTCTGGAACAGGTTCGGAGACCAGGAATAGAGACCAGTTCTGGAACAGGTTCAGAGACCAGTTCTGAAACAGGTTCTGGAACATGTTCGGAGACCAGTTCTGCTACAGGTTCTTGAACAGGTTCGGAGCCCCGCTCTGGAACAGGTTCGCAGACCAGGGGGGTTCTGAAACAGGTTCTGGAACATGTTCGGAGGCCAGTTCTGGTACAGGTTCTTGAACAGGTTCGAAGCCCCATTCTCGAACAGGTTCGCAGACCAGGTTCTGAAACAGGTTCAGAGTCCACTTCTGGGACAGGTTAAGAGACCAGTTCTGGAACAGGATCGGAGACCGATTCTGAAACAGGTTCGGAGACCAGTTCTGGTACACAGGTTCTTCAACAGGTTCGGAGACCATTTCTGGAACAGGTTCGGAGACCAGGTTCTGGAACAGGTTCCGAGACCAGTTCTGGACCAGGTTCAGAGACCAGGTCCAGGACAGGTTCAGAGACCAGGTTCGTCGTCCAGCAGTTTCGGAGAGCTTTTCTTACTGGACTACAGTGCCCCCAAGCTCCTACCCTCATCATATGCATTGCCTGGAGCGATTACAGCCTCGACAAGAACAATCCTTCTTGCAGAAGCTGTTCCAGGAACTAGCCTCAGGAATATCTTCCAGAACTGCCGCCATAGCCAACCAGCTCGAACTACTCCTTCCCAGCTTCAACAAAAATGGGTGCTCCTCTAAGGACTGCAGATGGGCCCTAGAGGACAGCTGGTGTACAGAGGCCTAAATTATTTCATCTGTTTTTCTCATGGATGTTAAAACAACTACCCAAAATCTCTTGTACCAAACTGGCTACCAACGCATACCCTAATAATACCCTTTCACTGCTGGGGGGGGGTTGGCGGGGGTTGGGGGGGCTAACAGCTGGGCTGAAAAGAGGGGGTCCTGGTTAAATTAAATGCCTATTTCAGTGCTTGGGCAGGGGGTGAGGGGGAGGGGGAGGGGGAGGGGGAGGGGGAGAGGGCAGTTAATGTGTGGTGAGTTGAAAAGGAGGAGGGAGGGGTCCCTGTCAACCAAGTGGGAGAACAGACCCATACGTGATACACCTCCCTACCCTTCCCCAAAATTCAATACAAATCGGGGTTATTAGATAGAATGCATCTGCCCAGAAAACTGGCCTAAATTCAGCTGCAATGCCTCCACTTTACCTCGGGGAAGAATGGTAGCCTCCGAGTGAGGCAGGGGCAGATAATTCCTGTCGTTTTCATCTCTTTTTCTTTTTGTTTTTGTTTATCTTTTTATTTTGTTTTTCTTTTCTTTTTCCTTTTTCATTCCCCTCTGTCTCCTTTCTTTTCGTTTTATGATGATGACCTTGGTAAGCTTCAGCCACATGTTTAACCACATCGCAACCCCCCTGCTTAGAAATGAAAAGCACGCAAAGGGACTTACCCCACCTGTCTTGTAGGCAGCAGATTGGGCGATCTTCACATCATGAGGGAAACTGTAGAAGCCAGGCAGCCATGAAACTGGGTCCAGTTGCGCTCCTAGCTCGCTTTCCACCGACTGCAACTCGAGATCCACTCTGCGTGGATTGAATCTGTGCCATCCACGGACAAACTCGGAGTGAAGAGGTAGAACTGCTTTCCTCTTTTTCTCAATCAATCACAGGGTAATTCCATTCATTCATCCATTACACCTTATTCATGCATTCATTCATTCACCTCCATTGATTGATCGATTGACGGATTGTTGATTGACATTCAGAGAGCATGGATGGATGGGTGGGTGGATTGCTGATTGATTGATTGATTGATTGACCAGTCAATTCAATCAATCGATCAATGAGTTGATTGAATTCAAGATAGAGATGCGTAACGACAGGAGAGGAGAGGAGAGAAAATTCAATCAATACACATTCTTTCTACGCCTGTTTAAGTTACACGACAGAATGTGTGTGTGTGTGTGTGTGTGTGTGTGTGTGTGTGTGTGTGTGTGTGTGTGTGTGTGTGTG